CCTCTATGATAATTGATTTTGAAATGGAATTATGTATTTTTTTTTTTTTTACTTGGTGTGTCAAACTAGACATGACGACAATAAGATTTTGGATTGAACACGACTTTGATACAAAAAAAGGAAAGATATGTAGCAAAAATTACTAATTGTCACGTCCAACCAGTGACGTCTAAGGTACTAAATATATGTTAGAGAGATTAGGCTAAAGTCCATGTAAATGTAACCAATGAATTGTGCATGGTATGATTGAGTTGCACCTTTCACAATATTAATCTTCTATATCTTGGAATTTCTATTATCATCCCATTATCATATATTAAGCTTTTCTCCCTATCCTACAACTAATTTATCAAATGATTTTGAGATTGATACTTTTTACTATTTAACCAGTCAATTAATTAATTAGTCCATACTTAAGATGATTTTACATATGTAATAAAATGAAACTTTAATGTGTAATTTTAGAAGTTACACATTCTACAAGTCATTATTTTTGTATTTTTCTCCATTTTATGTGCATGTTCAAGTTTTAATGTTACGATCAATATTTATGCTCAAATTGTTAACTCATTACTTTCTCTTCACTTTGAAACAACATTTGTCTTCACACACCTCACGCCTTTCTCACATTCTCTAAGATTCGAATTCAAAATCTGTCCTATAAGAGACTTAAGTTAAATCTTGATGCCAGACTCGACTATCACAAAAAAATGTGCATTCTTGTAACGATCCAACCTTTTTCCTTCTTACTCCTCACGAATTTCTTTATTCGAACTCAAGATCTTTGCTTTATGAGAGTTGAGTACTAAGATTCAAATTAAGTTTCATATAAGACTGAGGTCTTATATTTGAATTTTAGGAACGCAATTGAAATCCGTTAGGGATAAGATGTATATCATTACATTTACCCTTATGTCCTCCAGAGCATTCCGTATTTTCCTCTTCGTTATTAATGAACTGGCAGCCTTACGTGCCGATCTCCCCTTCGTCCAATGATGTCCTCCATGAGTTCCTCAACTGCTTGTAATTTTCCCATCTGTTAGTCGGCCAGTCCTCTAGAAAATCATTGTCTACAAAATCAGGGCCAGCCATTTTTTAGGGTTTCCCAACACTTAGGGGTCTCCAAACTCAAGAAGCCCGTGATAAAGATCTCAATATGCAGTTGTTAAAGAAGAAAATTATATGATCAACTACAAATGTTTGTGCCTTCCCTTTCCCATTGCAAAACAACATGCTTATACACGTGGGAAGAATTAAAAGCTGTAACTTATTTCTTTATAAAAAGCTGCTTATTTTTGTTGATTGGTAGCTCTGAAGTCTATATCAAGAATGGTACACGACCAGGGGCCAAAGGCTATGAGGCTTATTTTCAGACCACTGGCTCATGAGATTCCCATGACATCTTCATCCACCAAATACTAATTATCACTACTTTTTTTCTCCTTAAATTTTCTCAATATTCGATCACCAACTTCTGCAATAAATAAATAAATAAATAAATAAATAAATAAATAAATAAATATATATATATATATATATATATATATAAAACTGGAAATTTTCAGTTGGAGATGATAAATTAGCCCAGTAGTACATTTGTTACATGAAAGAAATAATTTGGTTAAGTCCCGCTGTGATCGTTGAGCAATTAGACTTCATTAGTCAGTCTAAATATCACTCTATCATACATGTTAATGATAGATTCCCGTGTAGTTTATATACGGAAATAATAAATCATATGAGGATTTGTGTATTCGAGATATTCCTTTTAATATTATTGACCATTTAAGATGAAATTTCAAGATTCAATATGGTATTGAAAGCCCAAAAAGCTCAAACAAGCAATCAATTTGCTTAAATTGCAGACATACAATCAAATTTCAAAATTAATATTCTTGAATCAACCAACATCTCGAGGCATCATGTTAAGGGTAAAATCTCATATTATTTAAAAACAAAAATAATAATTAAGATAAGCATTTTGACTACTATTAATTTACATAATATTAAAAGTTATACAACTCAAGAATCAGTTTGTCACCGGGAAAACTTTTCACTCACTTTCTTACATATTTTTTGCACCAGGGTGTTTGTCTACATTTAAAGTGAAGAGTTAAAAGAAGAAATAATGTTGTTATTTGTTGGGAGGTGAGTGAGCAAATAATAGTGTAGCTCCAAAATCCAGTTTAGGACAAACTCCGTGATTCCCGACGCAAAGGAAGCTGCAAACATGCAGTTTTTTCTTCAGTTTAGTATTTTTTTAGTAACAAAAATTCATTGTCTATAAAATGCATGCATCGGCACCTATGTGACCTTTAGGATTTGAGAAAAACAGTGGTCTTTCTTGGACATTTATTCTTTCAATGTTCAATTTCAACCTTCCTATTCATGACCTTATCCCACACCTTTTTTTTTTTTTTTGGTTGAATAATGCTAGGTAGAACCGTATATAGTTCACTAGGCAGTGGACCTTATTGATTATTATTATTATTATCTAATGATGAGTTGCTTAGACAATTAAATTAATAGAGTTGCTGCCTCATGGACTAGTGCAAAGCAACAATGATGCTACATATCATTGTTTTATTTTTTTGTTTTCAAATTCAAATGTTGATTTTAATTAGTAATCACGTCAAATTTCTGTATATTTTCTAGTAAAGGAAATTATCGCAACTTTTTCAAGAACATGTCATATAATTTTAGACTGCATATTACAACAAATCGATAGCACATTTTGCATCTTCCTAGTCATTAATTTAGTTTGATACACTTTCATTAGGATGTAATGAAACCAAGGAGAAATCTTATACAATACGTTACGCCACCTTATCTGAAAACTTGATTAGTAGAGACGAGTCACTTGTATACATGAATATTATCTACAAAACATTCCCTAACACGAACCGGATCGAAGTTCTTATACACCCAATTTCTATAAATCATTTGTGCTGAAATTTAAAAAAGGTCCTTTTTGTCGCTCTGATAATATTTGAATGCTTCACTTTTTTAAACTTAACTTGGTAGAGAAAGCATCATGTATTCATTTAAATATTGTTTTTAATGTTATATTTCAATTATATTTTCTAATATATCTTCATTTTATTGGTTCTTTCTGCATTTGAAGACACTCATTAAGATGGCAACGGGAACATATCAACATGTCTAACAGTAAAGCTTAGCACTTGTTAGTAGTTATAATTTAGAAAACCAGGATTTATTAAGGAGGAAAACCTAGTGATAAGTGTATTTTGTACTCTTATCTTTACATATAAATTTGATTATATTATTAAATTGACCCAATTTTTACTTAATTTAGTTGTCATCATAGGTAAAACACGGATTTAAGGGTACTTAGACCAAAAAGGAGAATTTTGAGTTTCATTGGAGTTGATTCAAAAATTAACCGATTTTATGGAATTGATAGGAAGCATTAAGAGCAATTTGAGGACATTTACAAGTTTCGGGAGTAAAATTTCAATTTATAAAAAAATTGAGGATTGATTTACATACTTCCGAAACTTGAGGAGGATCAATTTTGTATGATCATGGAGATTTCGGGGACCAACGTGGATGCTTTTGAGAGGTATGAAACAGCAAATTCGGGGGATACACAATAGAAATTGGGGGATGTTCTACACAAGGGGATTAAGGAGATCCAAAAGAATAGAGAAAGAAACAAGGTTAGGGTTCGAAGAATTTGGCGTCAAGGTGCAATTTTTTTTCTCCTTATTTTTTCTTTAAACCTAATGATGTATTTCATAAACCTTTCTTTTTTTTTTCCTCGATATGATGTGTAACTAAACCATTAGTTATGAGGAATGATGTAACCTAGATTTGAACCATTAATTTCAATTCTCAAGATTTGAAAAGTTAATTGTTTTATCTATTGATTTTACTTTTTTTTCTTAATGTTTGAATTACTCGATCAATAATTCATGATTTATGAATGGTAACAAATCGATAGGTAATTTATAAATTTGGACTACGTGATGAACTTCGTCAATTGGGTAAATGATAAATATTTATTTTTATCCTTTAATTGAATTCCTAGATGATTTAATGCATTCAATTGATATTTAATCGAATTCATATAGAGACATAGTGAGTTGATTCAACTAAATATAATTGATTTAAATTCGAGAGAGTTAAATTGGCTGATTAAGTGCAATTTTAGTAACTAAACTTGAGAGGCGAGATTAAACGTCATAACAACGATAGAATCCTGAGTTACAGAACTTTAACCATCATATTGAATATTTTATCCCTAATTCAAAGAAAAACTATCATATTATTGTTTTACTTTTCTAATTAGTTAATACTAATTCTAATAAAAAACTTGTCATTAATGTTTACTTTATTCAAATACGAGTAAAGGAATAGTTAGATTAATCATTAAATAGATCATTCTCATGGAAATGATAATTCAAACACTTTTAGATCCACTTTACTACTTGTTTGCACTTAAGATTATTTAAAAAAAAGAAAAAGAAAAACAAAGAAGCCTTAGGTACTAGTTTACTTCACCAAATGTGAAAATGCAGTTAAGTTTTATATGACTTTTCTAGGCCGCTATTTAATATTATGTTCTCTTGAGTTTCATGGCATATAAAATGGAGGAATTCCTAGTTTCATTATTTATAATAAAAAATTGGGCATGGTCCCAATTCCACAAGGAAGAGACAAAAATTACAAAAGTTTACTTTGAACTTAATTGGACTCAAATTTCCTTACTTTTCTGATTCTTTCGAAATTAGAATAAAATATGTATATATTTTTTTATATTTCTGAATTTGAAATAGTCCACAAATTTATTTCAGTCCAAAATTGCAGCTTGTTAGTTTTACTATGCAATTAATAATGTTAAACTAATTATTTCTTGATAATTGCTTTTCTAAGAAGGTGGGCAACAATGACCTGGATCACGAGTGCTATATGCGCGCAGAACATCAACTGTGGATGCATACATATAATAGGCATATATACTTTTACCAGTCAGATGCTTATGTATACAAATGTGGAAATTTATTGATAATTTATGGTTTTCTTAAGAGAAAAAGAAGAGAGAGAGAGGTCATTCATCTTCCTTCCACATTCTAGGTTTTATTGTCCTTCGGAAGTGTGTAGACTTGTAAATAATCATTCTCAAGCCTAGTTAATGGAATCTTGAAGCTAAGAATGATATCTCTTTGCCTGTCGGAGATTTATCGTTTCGGATTGAGGCAAGAACATAGAAATAATTGTGCGTAAATAGTTTTTAGCTGGCTTTCAAGCTCTCAAGCTTCTATAAGCCCTAGTAATTCCTAAACTTCTGTATCTTTAGTTTGTATAGATCGATCGCTCTATATGCTAGATGTGCATCCCCTAGTTTAAATAGTACAGTGTAAGGTGGACAATATAACACAGAAGTAAATAAAAGGATCGATGGAGGGAAGTGGAGATAGTATCGAAAGTTCGAAGACAAGCCCTTTTGAGATAAATGATGTTGAAGGTGAAAGTGAGGAGAAAAATGAAGTTTCCAAGCCTAAAGATGGAGGAAGCTCAAGCAACAGTACTGTTGAAGAGAACGAGAAGAAGCCATCCGTAAGGCCTTATGTCAGATCAAAGATGCCCCGACTCCGGTGGACACCTGATCTTCATCTGCGTTTTATCAATGCTGTTGAAAGACTTGGGGGTCAAGATAGTGAGTTAATTTCTCTAATTTTTGCTCAAGAATTTGATGTGAATTTTTGTGATTTGTTAATGAAGATAAGGGTTTTTTCTTCAAATCTTATATGTCCTCTTTTGATGCAGGAGCAACACCAAAATTAGTTCTTCAATTAATGGACATCAAAGGGCTTAATATAGCTCATGTCAAGAGTCATTTGCAGGTACCAAGACTTGGATATATTTCAATTATTGAAAAAAATATATATACATGCACAAATTTACGGAAAAAAACTATCAAATAATAAATCAATATGTGAAATTCCACCTTTAATTAATTTACTTCTCTACTTGCTTTTTGTTACCTTTTACAGATGTATAGAAGCAAAAAGACTGATGATCCCAGCCAATTAGGTACCATTTTATTTTCTTCTCCTCCTTTCCCCTTAATCTCTTTTGAGTACCAATTAGGGTTTTAATTTTTGTATCGATCTTATGCAATTTATCCTTCGGCATTACAGGGATGACGGATCAGAGGGTATTTATGGAATGCGCAGATCGATATATTTATCATCCAAGGCAGCTTTCTCATCTTCCAAGCTTTAACCAAAGGGATGATTGTGCTTTCAGGTATAACAATCTAAAAACAATTTTCTTATGTTCATTAGTATATTGGGGTTAATTTGCTCACATTCAGAATCCAAATTCTTTCGTAAGATATGGAGATGCTTCTTGGAATGGACATAGGAAATGGATGCATAATTCCACCACAAGACAGAATACTTATCACAAGATCAGTCGACCGGGATTTTACGATAATCTTACAGAGAGGATCTTGAGCAACCAATATTATAGGCCAGTAAGTCATGATCTTCTTAGCACCAAAATTCCCCCTTTCAATGAAGGATCCACTTGGAAAATCAACGAATCCAAAGATGATCTCGGATCACTTCATAAGCATGAATCTTGGCTAGGTCAATCTAAACAAAACCCTATTGGTGAGCTCAATTCCTTAAAGCTGATGCAACAGAGAGTTCATGAGCACAGTACTACGGATAATGGAATTAGTATCCCTACTCGAGATATGGATCGAACAACGAGTTTTCAGAGGCAGACAACGGTAAAAAGGAAGGCCTCAAACTGTGATCTCGACTTGAATTTATCACTTGGATCAGAATCAAGGGATGATGAGAGGCATCAAGGTTTGAATGACGATGAGAATAACTTGTCATTGTCATTGTACACTCCGTCTTCGTCGAAGATTAAGGAGTTAAAAGAAGATGATAGTAATGCAAGAGGGGCGAGTACTCTAGATCTGACTCTGTGAATTGAGTAATTCTAAGTGAGATCTTGAAGTACTCGTTTCACAATATGCATTTTCATGGTGTTGTAGCATTAAGATAAGTATAATACTCATGTTTATGTCTTTTTTTTCTCTCCCTCATTTTTTTTTTTTTTTTTGTGTTGGAAAGATATAGCTACTTCATTGATATGAGAGCCTTCACTGCAGGAAAAAAAATGTATTTTCATGGTACTTCCTTAGGTGAAAATATATATTAAAACAAGTAAAAAAAGAGTGCATACCCCATTTTATGCCATTAGCAGTATTTTAGCAGAGTTTAAAAGTAGCTTAAAACTTTTAGAGAAGTTCAAAAGTAGCTTAATTAAAGGAGCACAATCCTGTTAAGACTTGGAGTTCCATTTTAAAAGATTAACCTTATTAAAAGGAGTAGTCCAAGATCTTTTTAAGTTAGTCATTATTTCGGTATTTAACCAATGTGGGATTTTTATCCCTTAACATACAATCTACTAGGTCCATACATAATTAATGTCACACCTTGTAATGAAGTGTTGGTAGGTTCAACTGCTCGTTTACTTAAAGTTATAACTTTTAAGTTATCTGGATAACATTCTTCATCGAGTTATGAAACTTTCGGTATTGTTTCTTTTGCATGTTTAGCAAATTTTTGAAAGTAATTACAAGTGGGAAATTGAAAAATACAAGCTTTTTAATAAGCATTTATATTTCACTTCTTTATGTATAGCTGAATATATATAGTTTGTGTGCATCATGCATAGGCCATTTTGGTGCATTTTCTTGCATTAATTTGCTCAGAACGTTCATACTAGACGTAAGTATTTAGGGCTAACTAAATATATGAATTTGAATAAGATTGTGATTTCACATTTAGTGATCATATTATTATTATTATTATTATTATCATTCTTTCCTTAAGGCAATATTGCCTGCAACAGTACTAGTGGTGTATGACACTTGTCTCCTAAGATACAACGGATTCAACTTATGGTAGAAGCATTTCAAACTACAAATTTCAATGAACTTAGAATGGAGCCTCTCTTTACAAGAAGAAAAGGGTTTGGAATGATTTTGAAGAGTTTTATGCAATAGATTTTATGCAATAGCTGCTTAATGCAAAAGTGATATGAGATGCATTATGAACGTCCAAAAGATCCTATTTATGTAGAATGAGGGTTTGTGGATGAAGTGATGCGCACCAAATCTCGCAACTTTATGAAGAGAAGTATCATTTGCTATCGCTAACCTGTCGCCACTCCCTCGAGCGCCAGTATCAAAATTTTAATATAAACTTTTCGTCCGTCCATCGCTAGCTTGTCCTCAACTAATAGGCGAGCAAAGGAGTTGGGCGAAATTCGGGCCAATTTTCCTCTATTTTTTTTTTCAAATTTGGATCGCAATTTCTCAGTCACTGAAAATTGATTTTGAAATTCTAAATACACTACGATAATCTACTCGACGAGTAGAATAAGTTAGTCTATTTATGTTTGTAATTTGACTATCAGATCAAGTCTAAATATTTGGTCGAAATTAACACGAAATTCACATTTCCTCATTTATACTTAACCAATTTTTCTCAATTTTAAACCAATTTTCAACAATTATCATTATCATTATTATTATCATCACTGGAGATTTAGTGGTTTTGATGCCATGTTGAAATTTAAAAAAGTTCCATACATTTAAAATTTTTAGTCAAAGAACTAATACCATATCATATACGTGACTTAACTGAGAACTGCTTATAAAATTCCATTTTCCGTGTCAAAAGGTAACGACAATTGATCTTGTATATCGAAAATTGCTATTCCGAGTTCCGATTTTTTCGGATGCATCAAAACCTTTTTTAACATTTTGAAAAGTCACTAGTGTCTAATAGACTCACGATTAAATATTACTACATTAGGTCATTTGAGATTTGAAAACCAATTTTGAAATCAATCATGCTTGGGGCACACCAAATTTTACACTCTTATCACATGGCAACACGCTATTGGATGGTTTGAAAAAAATCAGTTTATTCACCAATCAAATTTTGTCAATAATGATGATGTCAAGCATGATGTACAAATATAATTATATTTATGAAATTTTTAGGAACATTTCGGGCTCTTAACCATTTTTTAAAATTTTTTTTTTACATAAAAGGGTTCTGTGATTTTTATCTTTTATCTTTTGTTTGTTAAGCTCCTAACTCCCAACAATTGTATTTTTAATAGGCATTTGTTCTTGTTTTTAATTTATTTCGTAAACAATGGGAAAAAAATTGAAGAAAGTAAATCAATTACCACAACTTGTATAGTATCTCCAAGAGTCTCTATTTTTAAAAAATATATATTTTTTAATTTAGAGAGCATCTATAAATTTCAAAAGTAAAAATTTGTAAGTACTCCAATAGACTCTTTATCGTCTTTAAAAATTAATTTTACTACTCCCAAATTTTTTTTTGTTTTTCCTATATTTTTTTTTTGCTAGTTTCATTCTAAATTATTATATTATTTTTTATCCATTAAAAATCAAAATATCTTGAATCATTTAATTATAGAGAGCGATTTAGTTCTCTAGATTTGGAGAGCAAAACCCATTTGGTTATGTTTGTGGCTCATATGGAGTGGAACACAGATTTATTGGATCAAATAGGTCGATGTCAGAGCATAGTGAAATGGAGCGAGGGGAGTGTAGCAATGGAATTGGCCTTGCAAGTTTTAATTTACTCTCTATTTGTCTGGTTGCTCCCGCGGTACGGTACAAGGGTTTTTTTTGTATGGGCCATAAAGTATTTATGGCATTGGATTAGGATTAATATAAATACTGATGATATAACCCTATTATTTATATTGAATAAAAATATCTCATTTTCACTCCTTGTGGATGTAGGCACATCACCGAAACACGTAAATGCTTGTGTTGATTTCTCTCTTTCATCTCTTTATTATTGCGCATAAAATTCAACAATTGGTATCAGAGCGCCAGGTCCAGATGGTGAGTTCTTTAATTGTAAAATTCAATGTGATGAAGTTTGACAGATCTAGGAATTTTGGATTATGGCAATGAAGGATGAAAGATTTGTTGGCGTAGCAAGAGATGGTGAAGATGCCATCTGAGAAAAAATCAAAGGGTACATCAGATGCTGATTGGGAAGAGCTCGAGGCGTGATTAGTGGGTACAATTCGATTTTGTTTGACGGACGAGATCATGTATCACGTCATAGATGTTGAGTCTCCAGATGAGGTTTGGCTAAAATTGAAGAGTCATATATGTCAAATCTAATTCTACAAACTCATGTGAAATTGGTTGCGAGTTGAAATTAAGTTCTACGACAAAGACAAAGAAATGATATTGCTGTGCTTTTTCTTCCTTCGTACGACCACTTAGTGATCATGTTGACATGGGGTAAAGAGATTCTCGAATCGAAGAAAGTTACATCAGCCCTGTTGGCCTAAAACTAACGAAAATTGTGCATTAGAGAAAGTTCATGGGGTAAATGGTTGATCGTGAAGGACTATCAGGATCATGGGAAAGAAGGACAGTTATAGTTCTTACAAAGGGAATACGAAATCGAAATCCAAAAATCAAAATAAGAAAGACGTCAAGTCCTACAAGTGTCATCAGATGGGTCACTTTAAGAAGGACTGTCCGAATAGGAAATAGGGCTATGGAAGTAAAGGTTATGGGTCCTCAAACTCGACTAATGTTGTAGAATGAGCTTAGATTCTAGAGATGGAGACATGCTATCAATCTCTGCAGGTAATTCTAATATATTACATGCCTATTGGGTACTTGATTTAGCCTGTTCATATCACATCTGTCTTCATTAGGATCGGTTCGATTTATATCATTCGGGTAATTTTGGATCGTTTTGATGGGTAATAATGCATCATGTAAGGTCATTGGACTTGGTCCATAAATTTAAAATGTTTGATGATGTGTTGAGGATTTTAGATGATGTTAGGCACGTGCCAGAGTTGAGAAAGAACCTAATTTCTTTAGACACTTTAGACACCAGTAGCTATTCTTATAAGTTCGAGGATGGGGCTTTGACAATGAAGAATGAGGCTATGATTGTGATGAAGGATAAAAAATTGGCAAGGGACATCTACAAACTACTAGTGAATACGGTTCTAGGTAGAGTTGTTACAATAGAATCTAAGTTAGATGGCATTCTCCCATGGCTCATGCGACTGGGGCATATAAGAGAACATTGTATGATTGACCTTCACAAAAGGTTTTTGCCGAAGGAGGTAAAATCATGCAAGCAAGATTTTTGCAAGTTCTATGTACTTGAAAAAAGTCTAGAGTATAGTTCGAGACGAGAAAGCATAAGACAGAAGACGCTCTTAATTATGTGGATTTTGTTGTTTAGGAATCAGTGAAGGAGTTGTCCAAAGGTAGATCTCAGTATTTCACTACTTTCATTGATGACTTCTCTTTAAAAGTTTGGGCATATTTCATGAAGCACAAGTCTGAAGCTTTTGCCAAGTCAGATTGTGGAAAGTAGAAATAGAGAACCAAACGGGTAGGAAAAACAGGTATCTCAGGACAGAGAAAGATACATAATACGCAAATTTACAGTTTTTAAAATTTTGTCAAGAGCATGTATTCAGCTGCAATATATAGTTCGCAAGAAATCGCAGCAGAATGGTGTAGTGGAGAGGATGAATAGAACAATTGTAGGACGGACAAGATGTTTGAGGTTAAATGCAAGGCTTTTCGAAGAGTGTTTTGGTGGAAACGATGAACATTGCATTTTATGTCATAAACAAATCACTACGAGTAGCACTAGATTGGAAAGTTACAGAGCAAGTTTGGACAGGTATTGTAGTTGATTATTCTGGATTCAGAGTATTTGGATGTCCGACTTATGTGTATGCATCTAATAATCAGAGATCTAAGCAAAATTCGAAATCAAGAAAGTGATTTTTTCTGGGCTATGTAAAAGGTGTCAAAGGGTACAAATTCTGGGATCCAGAGGTGAAGAAGATGGTGATCAATAGGGATGCAGTCTTTGATGAAGCATTCTTGCTTAAAACTTCTCCAGATGAAAGAAGCTCAGTTCAGGTAAGGGCAACAGCAAGAGCTAAGTGTGTTGGAAGTCGTAACGCCTCAGTTGTCTTTTCTT